TAAACCTCGGGTAGGATTATGTCGTTTGCTCTTTAAGTTATAAACTTAGAGTAATATTGTACATTTTAAGCTAATTAGTAGTATTTCAAAATTTGTATGTCAAATTATATATCATCTTAATTACATGATTTATATATCCAAATATTTGATATATGCAGACATGGATAGGGTGGGCAAGATTTTAGGATAGAATTAGAACTCGTAGAGACCCTAGTTGTCGGTTCTGATTCTAAATTTGGTGCAATTGGTAGCTAGGACTAAAAAACTAGGTTGTGGGCAGCAAGTGGTGTGTAGGCTAGAAGAGGAAGAAGGTGGGGGAGTTGGGAAGCACTTGGTGACCGAAAAAATCAAACACACAAACAGTCCAAAACCCAAATCCACAACCAATTCCAACAAACAACCTTCAATCGAATTAAAACCAATTCATCATTCAAGTGAAACCATAGGTGGAGGAGGGTGGCGATCGGTGGGCTACCGAGGTTGGGTTTGTTGAGGTTTTAGGAAAGGGATACCAGTGAATTGATTGTTGGTGATGGGGGTGTGTAATGCTTTCTTTCTAGCTAGTATACTTGTAAAATAATCAATAAAACTCACTAAAAATATATATAAAAAAATACACATATAAACGAGTAATAAAGTATGGGCCTATGTTTAATTTTTCTTTATTTACAAAATATTCTCAAAATAGCAACTTTACAGTGTAGCCCAACCTTTCCACTGTGTGACGTTCCGAGTGACTGCAACTCACCTATTACCTACAAAAACATTGAAAACAACGGAGTGAGCACTAATTGCCCAGTAAGTAAACCCGCTATGCTACCCTTCTCTCTCCGTTGCTTAAAACCTGAATTTTCTTTCCTTACAACTCATTTCCTGAGTATTCTCTATTCTTTCTCTATTCTTCTCTCTGTTCTTTCTCTGTTTTGCTCATTGTTTTTCTCTCAATTTTCTAATTTTTTCACTATTCACGATAATGAGCATGGTATTATGCATTTTCATTATGCAAATGCACAAATGAATTTTCATGATGCAAATGCACAAATGCATAAATTATGCATTTTCTTTCTATTTTTCTCATTCTGTTTTCTGTTTCTTATCCTTTATTTATTTCTTTCTTTTCTAGTCTTTCTTTTCTTTCTTTCTATTCCTTCTTTCTTTTCTATTCTTTCTTTCTTTCTTTTCTATTCTTTCTTTCTTTCTTTCTTTCTATTCTTTCTTTTCTTGCTGATCGGACTCAGTTGAGGCATGGATTTGGAGCCTTGGCCGTGTGAGTGAATTCTCTAACTCTGGGTACAGTCGTCACCCACATGCACTTCTAATAGACTGTACAATTATTCTTTCTGAATTCTGAGGCCGCCCACTAAAGGCGGCGTGCATATGAGACTATGTCACTCATGGGCTCCCCATTGCAACAACCTTCTCTTCTTTTTATCTTTTTACACTTTTTTAACTAAAATTTCAGATTTGAATATCTTTGATATTCTCATTTCTTTCTATTTTCTTTTTAACATATTTTACTGCTTTTTCATCCTCTTATGAAGATGTATGCATGTAGATGGTTTCATGCTTATAATTCTTTCTAAATGCAAATGTTTAAATGCAAGGATGCCATGTAGCATAAAAATAAGTTTCTCTCTACCATCTACAAACTCATATCAATTCATAAATGAATTAAACTCATGCATACACTTCTTTTGGACATTTGATCAAACATATTGCATGCATAATCAATATCTAATTTGACTACAATTCTACCTCTTTCTCAAGCCACCAATATTTGGAGTAAAACTCCCTTAAACAATTACCAAACCTGTCCAAAACAATACACTCCCAAAAGTTCTATTCAACTCTTTCTAACTTCAACCAAACTTCAATTAATCATCATACAACCAAAACCACTTCTCATGGCTAAATTCTATTAATCAATAATCATCAAACTCATCAATTTCATCAACAATTCTCAAAATCATAAGCATATACATATATGTAAAATCTCTACACACTTGATTTCTCGAATCATAACTTGGGTGTGATTTACTTACCTTTGATATGAGCAATCCAACCCTTTAAGACTCTTCTTTGATCAAACTCTCTTCTTCTTAAATCCTATGAGCACAAACCATCAAAATTCAACACTTTAAAAATGAAAAATCACTTCTTAGTGCAAGGATCTTACCTAAAGTTGCTTGGGATTGAAAATCCACTCAAAAATACCCAAAGCCTATGAATTTCCTTTGAAGAAGAATTGAAGAATTTGAGAGAATATGGAGGTGAAAGTGGCGTGCAAACGGGTAAGAGTGGCTAGGGTTTCACTCTTCAATTTGATATAACATAAAAAATATATATTAGTTTCCCATTTTGCCCTTGCACTTTCTTTAAAATTCCATCTATGTCCCTTAGTCAATTACCATAATGCCCTCATTTTTATTGCATTCTCCATGAAATTCTATCTCTTTTCACTCCCCACTTTTTCAACTAATTTTGAGTGAAAAGACCATTTTACCCTTAATGCAAGTTTAAGGCATTTTCTTCACATTTTCTCAAAATAACTTTAGCAAAAATCAACTAAAGGTATAAGAGCATAAATTAAATTACGTACCTCTATGTGGGCATTACAGGGTGATTTGCAATGACGGAATTGACCAAAAAAGGCTTGAATCGCACAAGCCAAATAGTGGGTGGTGGCCGGCAAATGGCAGGGCGAACGGGTACGGGGTGAAAGGGGTGGTTAAAGGGAGTATGATGGTGGTGTCAAGGGTGGTCGACGCCGTTGCAAATAGGCCGATTTGGCCTGAGGTGACAACAACATTTCTCATTTTTTAAACAGACTATAGGGTACATTTGTAATTTTTGTAAACAAATGTGGGTGTATTGTAATTTTCAAAGGGTTTATTTGTCATTTTTGTAAGTAATAGGGGTTTATTTGTTATTTTTATGGGTACTCAGAATCGAAACCGGGACCTGTTTTTAAGGTCTGGGTTCCAAATATTTAGGATTTTGGTTCCAAATCCCAGGAACTGGCCGATTTCAGATCTGGTTCTGGTTCCTTGGAATTTTGGCGAGTACTCGAACCTGCACACCCCTAGATAGGGATATTCGAATTCATAATTAATATATTCTTTCGAATAAACAGAGAGATGAAGTAGTTTTATGGTTAAGTCAATAATGAAACGCCTTATAAACATCTTGCATTTACATGTAAATTTCTGACTTCTAATGCCTTGTTTTCGTTGGGACAGAGATCAACCGTAAACGTGCTACAATTTCAATGACAACTCGTATTTATCAAATCGGACCTACAAATTGATCTCTCTGGCTTCATGCCAAAGACTTGATTGGGAGACTTTTGTCATCTCAAGCCTAGTTATCAAAGTCGTCAAAATTCTTAATATTAATGATCAAAATCCTTGGGTTCCTTCACTAGTGAATGAGTTATTAGTCTTCGGCGTGATGTGATTCTCGTATTTTTTCCTTGTCAGGTGCATGCTCCTGTCTAATCAACCCTTTCTTCGGGAATTTTCGGATGTCATGCCATAAAATTGATTGTGATTGAATAAGGTTTTAACTAATAGCTGTTAAAGAGAAGAGCTAAATAAAGAAGAAAATTTCTTCATTATATTTGAATTAGATGACGATATAAGTAAATGGAATAAAAGTTTACATGAATTTCTTGACTGAGTCTTCGCAAATATAGATTCAAAAAAGGTTTCACAATTATCAAAAGCACATATAGCTTAACTTGTTACATAGAGGACAACAATATTGTTTCTTCAATTACATTATAAATCAAAATCCTAAAGGTCCCACGTAACCTTCATCCCAGGGGTGGCAATTATAGGGTAGGAGACTTTCACCTCTAGCCGCTGCCTCGATGTAACATCCCTCTAGCCCTAATCCCCAAAAGAGGAATGCAATACTCGCCCGGCCGCGCCCCTAACCCCATATCTGAAAATATATTGTAAATTCATATCACTGCTTCTTCATCTTCATAATGTACGAATCATCAAAAATATAGAATCCGAACAAACAAGCAAAACGAAAATAAACCCTGAATTAAAAAAAAAAAAAAAAAGGTGTCAAGGTGGAAAAACAAAATTAAAATAAAACTTCTGAACCATGAAAAGAAAGAAAAAAACAAAATTTCTTCTTCAATTTCAAATGGTTTGGTGACAAAGAAGTTGACAAAATGGGCCAGTTGAGATTGACGTTTATAAATATACAATAATAATATATCTATTTTATTTTTATTTATTTAATAAATTATATATCTTCAGGGGCCACATTTACACTTGTCATTGTTTTATTTGTTTTAATTGATTCTTATCCTCAAGAAGATCATGGGCCAGAGCTGCTTCTTTTAGGTTTGCTTGATCCACGTCTTTCCAATATTGCCATTGATTTTCCAATATTCTGTCTCCAGCCTCCACTCTCCTACACTATAAATATCCTTACAAACTACATGCTTTGATATTCTTCAGATCACTAGAGCTTCATTTCCTTTCAAGTTGCTATTCTTGTTTTTTATTTGTGTGAATCTTAAGAAAATTATGGGGCGCCGCAGCAACTCATCAAGAATTGAGCGAAATATGAAGGAGAGAAATCGAAGAATGCACATGAAAGATCACCTTCGCCGGCTTGCTTGTGTCATTCCTCCTCAAACCTCCAAGGTTAATTAATTCTCTTTAACAAAATATTATTCTTAGTCTACATTCATATTCTTCTATCTAGCGTGAAATAATGCTGTTTGTATATTTTTGTAGTTATCAGTACTTGAAATATTGAATCAAGCCACAAATTATATAAAGCAGTTGCAAGAGAATAAAGAACGTCTTAAAAGAAGGAAAGCGCAGTTGAAAGGAGAGGAAACAACATGTAATACTAGTACTGATAACATGACTGTAATCCCAGAGTTACGTACGATAATGAACATCAAACATTTTGATGATTCGACTTTGGAAGTGAATTTGATTAGTCGGTTGGATAAAAACTTTATGTTATATGAAATAATAAGTGTGCTTCAGGAAGAAGCAGCGGAAGTTATTCATGCCTCACAGATTCATGCCGATGATAAATTCATCTTCATAATTAGGTCCAAGGTATTGAATTGTGTTTGTTGCATTTATCAACTATTTGCTTTATATAAAACTAGTTGGTTATGCTAAAAACTTTTCAATATTATTGATTGCAGGCCATAAGTACCAGAGTTGGTTTTGAAACTTCAAGGATTGATGAGAAACTGAGGGAACTGGTTCTCTGAATATTTCAGAACATGGTTTTACTTCGGCTAGATCATAGTCATGAAGAAATTAATTAGATTTATATATCAACAAATAAAATAGTACCTAGCATCATTCGTCATGTATTTGTCATATCTTATACAAACTAAGATTATAAAGTTCATTTCTAGTTGCAATTAAAGTTCATTTTATTAATATTGTTTAATTGATAATATTGAGAAAGCAAGTATATGGAGAGACAAAATAAATGGGTATAATTGTCATGCAAGAACAATCTATATAAATAATGCTCGTCATATGAAAACTTTTAAAATAGGAAATACTTTTTTATCTTTTGAAATATAGGATAATAAGAGTTAAAAAAAAGGGCAGATAATCACAAACTTTTTCGCCAATAATAATCCTATATAAAGAATGATCATCATATGAAAACTCTTATTTTGGGTGGCCATACAAGAGAAAATCATGTTTTATAATGGGGTAATTATACTTTTACAATTATTTTATGGGACGCCACATGCTGGCTTGGGGTGGCCATCGCCACCCCAGGCCTGCATGTGGCTCCGCCTCTACCCCTCACTTCAAATCCTGGCTCCGCCTAGCATTTTCTCTTGTTAGAGAGAAGATGACACCATTTATCTTTTATCTTCTCGGCATTCTTCAAAATAACTTTTTACTGTTCTTAGGATACATTAGATGAAAGACGGGATGGGTGGCCATAAGAAGTTGTTAAACATCGTGAGGAGGTTACTCACACATTTGTGGATCAAAGTGAACCACCTCAAGTAACATAGGAGTTACGTAGGTCTAGAGAGTAGTCATGAGCCCAAGAGATATGGTTTCTCGTGACTAAGATAGCAACGTATTGGTCTACAAGACAATGAACTAGACCTACGATGATGTATATCCGATCCAGATTTTGTTAAATGGCTTGAAGCCATGAAATTCTGACGGATCCAGTGATTAGAACCAAGTGTGGTCTCTAGTGGATCCACCTAAGGGGTAAAACCCATAGGGTGTAAATGGTCTTCAAGAAGAAGACTGACATGGATGGCAAGGTCTTACTTAAAGACACGACTGGTTGCCAAAGTTTTCAAACAAATTCATGGCATTGACTATAAGAAACATTTCACCTGTTGCCTTGATTAAGTCTATCCAGATTATGCTTACAATTGTTGTGGATCACAACTATGAGATTTGGAAGATGGATGTCAAAACAGCTTTCCTGATGAAAACTTAAAGGATGTGTATATGACACAATCCGATGGTTTCGTCTTGTGGACAAGCTGATAAGATATGCAAGTTGCGAAGGTCCATTTAGGACTCAAGCAAGCTTCAAGGAGTGGAACATTTTGACGAAGTCATAAAAGAATTTGGTTCATAGAACAAAGACGAGCCTGTGTTTACAAAAAGTAAGTGGGCGTAGTGGTACTTGGGTTGTATGTCGGACATACCTCTAATCGGGAATGTATACTACAAACTTGCAGTCAGTAAAGACTTGGTTATCCAAGTGATCTCCATGAAAGACTTAGGAGAACCACCTACATCCTCGGAATAAAGATCTATCTGATAGATCACGTAGGTTGCTTGGCCTAAGTCAGAGTATATATATAGACAAGTACTAAAGGATTCAGTATGGAAGAATCAAGAAGGGTTTCTTCTGATGCCACATGGTGTCTATCTCTCTAAGGATATTGTCTTAAAACACATGATGAAGAGATAGAATGAAGAGGATCCCATATGCGTTAGCAATCTATCCATCATGTATGCCATGTTTGTACTGGATTGATGTCTCAATGCATTAGCACTTGTAGTAGAATCAATCGGATCCAGGTGAGGAGATTGATAGCTGTCAAGAACATCCTTAAGTACCTAAAAAGACTAAGGATAGATTTTGGTTTATGGAGGGAAGATGAGCTCATTGTAAGATGATACAGTGATGTTAGTTTCCAAACGGATAAAGATGATTATCATCGCATCTGGTGTATTTTGTCTCAATAGAGCTACAGTGAGCTAGAAGAGCTCTAAGCAAATTACTGTAGCAAATTACAATGGAGACTGAGTATATCGCATTATCCTATGTGGCCAAGGAGGGGTTAGATTATGAAGTTCGTCACCGAACTTGGTGGGTCCACGATTGTTGATCCAATAGATGTATATTGCACAATAATGGAGCAATAGCTCAAGCAAAGGAACCATGGTCTCACCGAAGTCTAGACACATACTTACGCAATTTCATTCATCAAAGAAATGGTTGGAGGAAAAATCTGTAGATTTGCAAAGTACATACTATGACAATCTTGCAGATCCACTAACTAAGCCTTTGTCGCAGCAGAAGCATGAAAATCCTTAAGGTTATTCTGATATTAATATTTGAGTGATTGCCTATAGTGCAAGTGGAGATTGTTAGAGTAGATGCTTAGGGCCAATCCATTTTGTAAATGTTGAATCTTCTAATAAGGGCCTTTACATAATCTCATTGTACAATTGAATGTGCTGGTTATGTCTTATTTAATTTCATTAGAAATTAAATTAGTAAGATTTTATATTTAAATATATATATCAGTATATATATTTTTATTTAAATATTTAATATAATACTATTATTTATATTAATTTAATATTATTAATATTAATTGAAACAGGAATTCAAATTAATTTCAAATTTGAATTGATTGCTTTTGTTGGTATTGGAATATTGCTAATCTTAGTATGGAATAAGTAGATTGCTATTCCATATTGATTAGGTTTTTAGTGTGCACTATTAAGTGCAACTATAATTAAATGAGATAACCCTTTTTACAAAATAAAAGAAACCTAGCCGCCACCCCTTCTCTCTCTTTCACGTTCCTCTCTAGGTGAGAAGAGAATTTCTCCAGAAAAATTAGCATCCTTGATCTTTGAGTTTGCTAGCACTTGAGACCGCAAGGCAATCACCCATCCTGTCTTATGTGGATACCCATCGAAGTGCACTCTTGGCTTAGAGTAGGAGCGAGCATCGTAAGAAGGAGCCCCAAACGTAGGTATACTTTTGGATTTTTACTTCTTATACAAATAACGTAAATTTGGTATAAGTTCCTTGGCATCTATGTTGTTGTGTGGGGATTTTTTTTTTTTTTTTTTTTGGGAACCCCACTAGTGACTAACATGTTGAAGCTATCTGGCCTGGGAAGATGAGTTTGAACTGGGACAACAACTACCTTCCTTGTAGATGTTACATCTTAAATACAATCTCAAACTTGTGACTGTGGCAGATGACAACTTTCTGGAGTCCCTGTGTGCATGCAGTCTGTTGTTTGCTTTTTAGAAACATTGGGAATATGAAGGATATATGACTTGTCATTGAGATCACATTCACTCATATCCAGCATGATAGTTGATGACACTTAGTAATAGTAGACACTTATGGCTGCTATTCGTTCACCCCTGACGATGACGACATAGCATCAACATAGCAAGGTTGGAGACCCAAAAATGCTAGAAAAAAGGAGCTGATGCGAACCAAGGAGGACCAAAGGTGCAACACTGAGGTGTGGGATCTATCGAACTCTAGGACAAAAGGAGGAAATGCCCCACAAAATCATCCAAGCAACAAGAAGCAAAGGGTATTTCAAAACTTTTATTTAACATGATTAGTATTGTTTTTGTAACAGAATTGTTTGCATTAACATTGTTTTCTTTGCTTTGTTTAGAGAAGAGAAGCTTATCAGCCCTAACAGTCAGACAGGTCAACATTGAAGCAAGTTTCTAACATTACACAACTGTCAAGGGTAAAAGGATGATGTAACCAGTCCATCAAATTTTTAAATTGTTACATTGCTTCAAACTGTCAGGGGCAACCCTTTAAATTGATTTTATGATTTTTTTTCAAGTACTAAGGAGTGTGGAGTTAAGCAGGTTTTTTGGTGTGATAAAACTAATAAGAATATGTTGGTTTTTTGTGTGTGGAGTTGAACCATGCTGTTGTATTTTGTGTGAAAGTTACTACTATGTATTTTGGTGAAATTTGGGGAAGCAATATATAGTACTTTGTTTGTTATTAAAAGTGTGCAAATGGTGTGATAAACTGTACCGATAACAACTAATTAGGTTTTCTATTGTAAATGTGTCACTGATTTAGGACTACTGCGGTGGTTTTGACATAATATGTAGCATTAATTTCCTATTTTGGGCTGTTGATCATCACATTTCAATGCCAAATTATGTATTTTCATTATATGGTTAATGCAAAAGTTTTTAACTCAGTAGTATGGTGTTAGTATGATCATCTGATGTTGGTTTTGTGTAGGATGTGTTTGTGTTCAACTTAAACTCAGGAGTATGCCAATTTTAAGAAAATTTACTTTGCCATTATGTAGTTAAACCCTCAACATTCAAACAATATTGCTGAACTTTAAATGGTTTAGGGGCATTAGGGTAATTATTATATTTAAAAAAATGCAAGTCATCATTGGAAAAAACTAAGTATGGGGCCTTTTGGTTTTTACAAGTCTATTTAGTTTTTTATTTGCCAAATTCAAAGGTTCAAGGGTATTTCAGTCATTAACACTCGCTATCATTGTGTCAAATCCACCAGTTATTAATAGTTTATTTTAAGAGTGGCAAAACGGAATAAATTAACTAGAGGTACCAACTTGGGATTTCCCTAAACCCGGGTAGGATATGTCGTTTGCTCTTTAAGTTATAAACTTAGAGTAATATTGTACATTTTAAGCTAATTAGGGTATTTCAAAATTGTATGTCAAATATATATCATTAATACATGATTTATATATCCAATATTTGATTATAGCAAATGGATAGGGTGGGAAGATTTTAGGATAGAATTAGAACTCGTAGAGACCCTAGTTGTCGGTTCTGATTCTAAATTTGGTGCATGGTAGCTAGGACTAAAAAACTAGGTTGTGGGCAGCAAGTGGTGTGTAGGCTAGAAGAGGAAGAAGGTGGGGGAGTGGGAAGCACTTGGTGACCGAAAAAATCAAAAACACAACAGTCCAAAACCCAATCCACAACCAATTCCAACAAAAACAACTTCAATCGAATAAAACCAATTCATCATTCAAGTGAAACCATAGGTGGAGGAGGGTGGCGCGCGGTGGGCTACCGAGGTTGGGTTTGTTG